TTCTAGAAAAAAATCTCAGCTGCTTCACATTAAAAATTTCTGAGAACTTTGCAAAATTCTAGAGTTGGCAGATTTTCTTGCGATCTTCGACAAACAGAAGAAGGTGGTGTTGGCTGAGAATACTTGATTTTGTGCGGTTCATTGTGCTCTGCGAGGAGTGCAGACACACGCTGCTGTGCTGAGAACATGTGCCCCTTATCTGAAATAACAAAGACAAATTAGTATGGAATGAAGAAAAGCATCATATTATCTGGGCAAGCGGAATAATAATAAATGAATAAAAGCAATTTACATTTCGAGCAACTCATTTAGAATGCAAAAGACTAACGGCTAATAAAAATTCATGAATTCGTCGCCGGCGCGATAAGACGGGCAGAACAATTAAAAAATCAAATGGATGGTTTCCACTTTTGCGTCTAATTCGACTCGTGGCCGAGATAAGAATCGGCCATTGTTTGCCTGCGATTCCCGACTAAAAAAACGTCACTTAGTATCGAGCGCGAGTTTGATTTATCGTGTGCCCAAATATCACTTTTAGATGCTGCGCTGTTTAATCATTTTCAGCAAAAAAGGAGAATCCCCCGAGTGTGGCTGTCGTCTTGGCTCGCACAGGTGTTCCAGTGATTGATAATGTAACGCCGTCAAAAAGCACTACTTTTACCCAGCCCGTCGCACATTCGCAGGCTGGGCACAGACGCGGGACAATTTGCACTGCCCATAAATTATCATGCCTTAAAAAGTATAAGCGTTTTGAAATTTTAAAAGAAAAAGCTCAATTTGATTTAACGATTTTTAATTGCCGCGTTTCTTGTTTCACCAAAAATGGCCAAAGTTCAGAAATCAAAAGTTTGCGTGACCACGTATGTATTTCACCAGAATACCGGATTAAGAGAAACCGATCGAATCCACGACGCGCGGGGTCGACGGAGGTTAAGTCGCGCAGAGATGTGGCGATGATTGTTCAGATATTAATTGCGGCCGTTGTTTTGGACGAGCGCGGAATTTTAATTAAAATCTGATTTGCTCACGCACGTGGGAGTTTGTTTGATCGATCGACTCGCCGCAAGATCCACTTTCATCGCCTCTAGATATTGTACTAAATTAAATATGCAAAATTGTTGAATATTCTTGTATTAGTCGCCTGAATTGATTGTAACAAAAATTTTACTCTTGGTTTCTTTAAATTTAAAATTTTACGTGGTTCGTTTAGCTATATTGAGACAAAGAATAATTATTTATGTTTATTTCCTTAATCTTAATTTTTACCTGTAAATTGACTCTTGATTCCAAATCCCGCGCTATAATTTGATCATTTAAATAAAATACAACTTACGAATTTATTGCTTAGAAAATATTTATTATTAAAATTTTGTACTAAACATTGCAATGATTTCTGCTTAGTCATATAGATATATATCTGTTATATATACAATATAAATCACTTTAATATATATTGAATAATTAAAAAGAAATTTAAAAACAACAACCAGTAAAACTGAAAAAATATTTTTATTGAAGTTAGAAAAAAATTAAATTATATAATGTTTGTGTGAACATTAAATAGTTTCTTTTTTGGAAGTTAATAAAAAAAAACTACGATGATTGGTGTTCCCAAGCTCCATTTACTTTAGTTGATTTTATTCAAAAAATTCAACCGCATTCTCGGTACGGCATATGGGGTCTATATTATTTTGAATGTTTTAGTACAATTCTTACTACAGGTGGAGCCGTTTTTGTCCAACAAATACAACGTTTCCCTGTCAGCAATAATAATAATTAAAATGTTTTATAACAGTTGTACAAATATAAACACAAAACCGATAAAAATAATAATTGCGTGGGAATAAAATGCTAATAGTAAAAAATCACTTTATTTTTCAATAAGGTTTGATATCTGTTGTAGGAAATAATATAAAAATATAACTGTCTTGACTTTTACATTATTCATATTTCCAAATATATTACAACTTTCATTCAATCAGATCAATTATTTTAATTGAAAATTAATTTTTCTCTCACCATAACCAAGGGGTATTTTAGTTATAACAAATTCCAATACTGTTCTTTCCCTATGACAATCTATCTCGTTTTTTTAGCATCAAAGTTAATTTCGGCGGCGTTTTGTATGATTGAAGGCGCAATTACTTCAGGTCCACCCCTGCGGAATAATGTTTGATCTGCGCCCCGAATCTCCTCTCTTCTGCTCTGCTTCTCTTTATTTCTGTTATTTCTACTTTTGTCTCCGTGTGTTTGCCGAGCTGATTGGGAGCCGAAAAGCGCGCAGCTTCTTCTCTCTTTCCTTTCTTTCTTTCTTTCCTTCTTTTCCTTTTACTTTGGTGCCCCTGTCGGAATTATCGGCCTCATTACAGCGACGGCCCGGAATGACGTTGGCGCTCAACCAAGCAGCAGAACACATGCTGATTGGAGCCGAACGTCACCCTGCGCACGGATGAGCCGATGCTGATTTATGACGAGGCGCAATTTTGACTCTTCGCATCAAAAAAAGGCAACCCCTGCTAACCAACGCGACACGCATCATGTGACCTGGACCTATTATTATTTTTACTCATCACGCGGCAGATTATCGCGCGGGGGCGGAATGAAGTTCGCCTGAGTTGCTTCTTTTATGTTTGTTTGCCTGAAAATCGTGCCAATTATGGATTTCATCTGTCGGATCGTAAATCTCGATCAATGATTATTCGCATAGTTTTTGGGGAAAGAGTTGGAAAAGAAAGAAGTTTGCTGAGCACAACGTGTTGAGTGGCAGCTGCGCTCAATTTGGCCCATTCGATAATGGCGCATCGTGCTTCTGATGTTTCCATAAATCTGGTAAATTGAGAAGTAAACAAAATGAACATTGCTCACCAAACTACACATAAATAATTTTTTAGTATTTATTTCAAAGTGCAATTTCCAACAGTTGTTTGCAAAATTCAATGTTGCCCTTCTAATAAATATTTCTTTCAATAAAAAGACAAAGTAAAACCAATTAAATAAGGAATCACGAATTCATTAATTTCTGCTATGATTTGGCTGGGATTAATGTTAACTCGATATTGCCCATTTATATTTGAAAAACTAAAGTAATCCAATACCTTTTGCAAATTGTCACAAAAACTCGACATGAAAAAATGAAAATGAAAAAAAACTCTTGAGGAGCTATGTCATCTCAAATTAAGTAGGATTATATTTATTGTGTTTAAAATTTCAATATTATATTTTTTGGTTAAATATTAATTTTTTTATTTCAATTATATTTTCCTTTGGCACTTGGCACAATATTTATATTTTTAGTATCTATTTTGTAAATAAAATTTCTGTTGCAGATGTATCAAAATGTTTGCAAAAAATGTGACCATAACAGTGGAAAGTAAAGCAAATAAATTAATACTCAAACAATTTCATAAAAAAATCAGGTCGTGCTACTTTTTAAACAAAATTAGCATAAATTGCCTTATTAGTTTAAAAGAATTTTCTTCAATGACTTCTAATTAAATAAAATTAACTTAAGCTTTATCTTAAAATAAAATATATCTAGTTCTTGCTTAGTAATTATTTACTAGATTATTTCATGTTAATTCAAATAACAATATTCCATCTTTTTCTTTGCAAAAATGTTTAAATGCTACTCTAATTATTTGGGAAGGTGAGGATTGCTTTATGTTGTTTTTTACGTTTTTACAATTGATTTTTTTCCCTAGCTTTTTGTACTTAAAAAACACACACACAACAATAAAAAGGTTAGAAATAATGAAAGCCCAAGGCCAAAGCAGGGCTTTGCTTCAATCCCGGGTCAGTCTTTTGTGCTGTGAAAATGAGCGCGCTCGGCTGGTGTGGCGTAATTTGATTTGCTTTGTGCAATTATCGGCGCAATATTCATCAGTAGAAAAGCACTTCTATGAATTTCCACCGAATGGAAGCACGGACAAAAAAAGAAATAAATGAAATCGACGGCGGCGGCGGTGGTTTCCATTGGTTCGCTCTCTTTTCTGCCCGCAAATTAATAGAGAAACGAACGCCCCTTTGTGTTCGCATGCACAATGGGAAATCCATTATAAAAGATGTTGCCACTCATTAAGAGAAAATTGATCTCGCCGTCTTTTCCAGCGTAATGAGAGGAAAGCCTCTTACGGCGCCTCGGCTGTCAATTATACATTACGATGGTGTCTTTCTCAGGGTGAGATGGCACTTTCTTTCTTTCTTTCTTTTCCCGCTCAACAATGCCCGCTTATCGCCACCTCCAGCTGCACCTCCTTCGGGGTTGAAAGCAGCGCGGTTGACATCATATTCTCATCTCATTCAGGGGAGGCGTGATTTCGCGCAAAGTCATGCGGCGGATGCGACCGATTGATGGTTTTTGCGGCCAACCCGAAGCCGAAACACCATTAATTTTACTCCACTTCAGCCCCTTGCAAATGGAAATTCAAACAATATCTCCAAAAAACTTTTTTAAATGATTTTTTTAGCAATCAATTGAATTTTATATTTCCAAAACTAGAATTGTTTGGCAAAACATAAGTTACTAGTTAATTTATATATTTAAATTATGAGCATATGAAAAGAAATTTTAAAAAGAACCATTTAATTATAAAAAAGGATTGTTAGATCCCTTAGGTAAAAAATGTGAAAAATTTTAAAAATTGTAAATTTTAGGGAAGCTTGCACTGCAATTATTTCCATTAATGTTTATTCGCAGATGGAATTCAGATTTTAGATTTAAACCAGGTTAAATAATAGGACAGGTTTAATTAAATAAAATAGAAATTAAATTTATCAATAATTTTACCTCTGGAATATTAACAAAGTTAAGATATCAATATAATAAATAATAAATTATTATTTATAAATTTTTTTCTTAATTTTATTTCCTTTTGAATATTTATCTGCTTTTTGTTTTATTAAATTTGTATCAGTATTATAATTTTTTTTATTCATTTTAGTATTCTCGTTGCCACCTCGTGGCCAATAGTGTAACAACTTCAACCATCAATGTACCACGCCCCCTCCCGGTGTTATTTATTCAATTTCCTATCTGCACGAGCGCTGAAAAGTTGCTCTCATCAAAAACAAAAATCTATCCGAAAAAGCGACTTTCAATTAATTAAAATGACCTTTTACCACTTCGTGAACTGCGTAGCCCTTGTCTACGTGCCCTACCACTTCACCTACAAACTTTCCGGACTGTGAGTGCCGAGTTTTTCTGTTACATAAATTGGAATCTTCCACGCGCACCCTTTAATTGGATTAATATAGTCATTGCTTAATTTTGGTGTTTGCTTTGGATTTTAGGTCGGAATACGGTGCGTTTTGGAAATGTTTTCAAGCGGCGCAGCACTATGTTTTCACGCAGCTTTTCAAAATGATCATCGTGGCCACCTTTTTCCCAGAGTACGACTCGGATCTTAAAGGAGAAGGCGAAGATGCTTTTTCGGTAAGACTTCAAATTGTACTCTTTTTGTAAGTTTAGACTCCATTCGATCCAAGCTTAATTGAGACAGGGTGAAAACTGCATGTTATAAAAATAGCTCAACGTACATAAACCAATTAAATTTCTACAGTTTCCCGAAACGCAGTTTCAGTGACACTTTTTATCATACATAGTTCTGCTAAAATTTAATTGAATTGCTCAAAATGTAAAAAGCAAACTAAAAACTTGTTTTTGTACTCGCCACAACAGGAGTGGTTGAAGGCTTCGGTGGATCTCGCTGACCTTGCAGGGCTCTACTTGGTCTTGATGAAGATCCCAGGCAAAGGTCACAACAAGATCTTGACCGCTGCGGTTGGTTGGGGAGGCGCTGAAATGGTCCTCTCGCACTTCTACTCGCTCTGGTTTGGCGCCCGAGGTGCCGAGTTTGACTGGAAGTACATCCAAGGATGCCTCGACTCCAACATCAGCCTGGTAAATAAAAAATAAATTAAAAAATTCACATTATTTCCTATTTAGAGTAAAAATATCCTTTAAAAGCATAAAATTTTAAAGATCTAGAAAATTTCCATGAAATTTTTGCAACTTACTTTTTATACCTTATAATTCAAGGTCCAACACATCTCAACAGCCGCTCTGGTGTGGCTCTGGTCGCGCCACGATCTGAAGAAGACCTTGATGCCTGTTGTGTACTTCCTCCTCTTGGCCGCCGTCTTCAAGCCGGTGCTCTTCAACACCCTGCTTGTCTCACTTGGCTATGGCCCTTGGCTGCGACTGGCACTCAAGGCTACAACTACAGGATTCCTCGGCCTCGTCACTCTTTACATCTACAGCGGACTTGCCAAAGCCATAGGAGTCTACTAATGGAGGGTTGCATAGTCTAGTGTTATTCCTCTCATGCAGAAGTAAAAGGCCATGCAACCAATAATCAACCAACCACCAAATGTTGAGACTATTTCTACAGAAGTTTTTGTAATTTTGTTGAATGAATGTGTAATTTGATTGACAAATTATCGAATGATTTTATTTAGTTATAAATTTTTCGTACAACCAACAACTTGTAACAACTGAATAAACTTGCATAATAGGAAAGAGAGATTTTCAACTGATAGGTATTGGATGCAACTGCAATGAAGCCGTGAAAAGAAAAAGGAAATACCTGTAAACTCATGCCCTGATATTAAGGGCTATTGTTTATCTAAATATAAAAAGTTTTAAGACTTTTGTTCAAGATGAATTTTTCAAATAATTTTCACGATTTACTGCTTTTCTCAGCTTCATGAATAAATATTACCTGCTGGGTGGTAGAAAAATGAAGTAACAATGGTGTGAAACAAAAATTTTAGTCTTTCACTAGCATGGCAGCTGAATTATGAAGGTGAGCACTGGACCCGAGCAGCTCTCGGCTCTTCTTCGTCATCCCCGTCAGAGTCTGCGTCGTCTCCATCTTCACTAGAGGAACTGATCATGTTTCCAGCCTCACCCTCCACTTCTCCCTCGGAGTTCTCAGTTGCCATCTGCGCTCGGAGGTGTGCTCGCTAGAAGATCCCAGATGTAAATTTCAGTTAGACATGAATTCAAAATAAGCTCACTCTTGTGGCATTGCTCCTTCGAATCTGCCTCCACAGGTACCAGAGCATTTGACCATCAAAAGACTCTGCGTTGCCACTCCTTTCATCTACTCGTCCTTTTGAATTGCTTATCACAGTCTAGAAACAACATTTTTTAGAGGAGTAGTTCAAATAAACTTAAAAAGACAAACCTGCTTCAGGTTAGCCATGGCTGGCGCATCTTCATAAGACGGAATCCAGATTTTCACATCATCGTCCAAACCACTTGTGGCCAAAATTGGCACATGAGGATGGGGCTCCAAGCAGTTAACCTTTCACACATACAAAATGAGCTTGGCCTTTAAGTTAAACAATAACAAAATACCACTCCATTTTCATCGCCATGCATGAACTGCAGAATGGCTTCAGTCTCTTTATCCCAGAAGAAAAGATTGCCGCAGTCTGAGCCAGAAACGACATATTCACTCCTTGGGCCAAAGAAATTCACTCCCTTCACTGAACATTTAAAAATGTTAATTAATTCCATCTGTTGATGAAACAGTTGAATAATTACCAGTAGCACTGTTTCTGTGTCCTTCATATCTGTGAACGTAATCAGCTCCGTCCGAGTGACGAGTGTCAAAGAGGAAAATGTCGTCGTCGTTGTAAGAGGCCAAAACCTCTGTGCCATTGTAGTTGTAGACCGCGCAAGTGATCTGGCAATTTGTGTTTGAATCACCCTGAAATATAAAAAAAATAACCATTACTGAAAAGCTTGCCAAAATTTTACGCACCATGTGCTGGGGTTTGAATTTCTTAACAAGCTGTTTTGGGTAACGCTTGTCGTAAAAGCGGACAAACTGATCTCGCCCACCGAGACAAAACTCATTCAGGTCCAGAGGGTGAGAGCTGATGCTGTACAAAGGTACCTTCTTTCCTGCCTCTCGGACAAGTAGAAGTCTAGAAGAAAAAATTAAAAAATACAAATTAATTAATAATCTGTTAAAATCTTATTTTATCACTTATTTGGGGTTGGCTGGCGCAGATCGATGCTGATGACGAAACCATCTTCGCCTGCGCTGAGAATTTCCTCTGGACACTCGGGGTGAAGTGTCAGCTTGTGGGCTGATTGGTTGTGCTGGGCAAGCTTTCGAGTGCCTCTGCAGGTACCTGTTGTGGACAAAGTGGCTAAACGCACTTGGCCATCCCTGGCGCATGTCACAATCAACGAGTCGTTGCTGCCCGGCATGAACTTGGTCTGCAAAATTTTGAAATTATATAATTTTTTTATTTTTTTTTTAACTCTTTTATTAATAAATTTGAAATAATTAGGATTTTAAATGCATCATTTTGCTGTATTGCCAAAAGATTACCTGAAAGACATTGCTGCGATGTCCACTGACAAACTCCAGATACTTCTTGCCAATCGCCCAGTCCCACACAATGACTCTCATATCGTCCGATCCACTGACTAGTTTTGAACCAGACTCATTAAAGTTCAGGGCATTCACACATCCGTGGTGTTCGTCGAGCTTGTACATGAGCTCAAGTCGCTCGACCGCATGACGCGAGCCATAGAACCTGTCTGTGAAGAGCACTGGCATCTGCTTCTTTGTGCTCGTTCCATATTGCCTGAAAATAGAACAAAAATCATTTTCAATTAAGATTATTTGAAAAGATTTCAAAATTTAAATTCAAATACAAATTTTGTTTAATCATTAATTCTAATATTTCTAGAAATAAATTTCTAAATAAAAATGTTTACAGCTAGGGCAAAAGAAATATATTTCATTTAAAATTTTTTTAGTACCTTGAGGCTACTTCTTGAACCATATGCCACTTGTGAGAGGGCTTCCTTTTTGTCAGCACCACTGGCATCGATTCGTCCTCATCATTCCCTTCAGACTCGGATGACTTGCGGCGATCGATGATTCCTGCTGGACTGTCTGGACCAGAAGTAGTACTGCTGCTGCTACTACTTATGTCTCCTCCAATGGCTCGAAGTCTAGCATTCAGAGGTCCGGAGTCACTAGAGTCCTCGGACATGTCGACCTGTTGTTGCTCAGGTTCGGTTGGCTGGGCACCCGTGTCTTCTTCAGAATCGCTTGACTCGTCACCAGAGCCTCTGGACGATTTGCGGTAATTCCTTCGAGAGGAAGAAGAGCGCTTTTTGAACACTCCAGAAGACATGGAGGAGTCACTGTCCAGCCGTCGCGTCTTGGTCTCTGGGCCGTCTGCCGGCTCACCGTCTTGGGCCGGTTTTCTGGTAGGGCTCTTGGACGAACCCTCGGCTGCGTCATCCTTGCTGCCGGACGAAGGGCCGTCCTCGGCCATGGGAGCCGCCGAATTCAGTTTCTCTTTTTCTTCCTTCTTCTCTTCCATTTTAGTGGTTGCCCATCAGGGTAAGCACCTTCTAGAACAGGGTGGAAAACCAACAAAATCAGTCACCATCAGTCGGTTTTTTTTCACCCCCAAAAACTCAAAAACGGCAACATGGCTTTGCTATAATTCCTTGTTGTATGTATGTACGCCATGTAAAAAAATCGTGCATTCCACGGACTAAAGAATACAAGTTTTACTAGTTTTGACAGCATCTGAGAAATCCTAATATGCACAATATTCAAAGAATAACCTTGAAACTTTGATAATTTTACAGTTTTATTTGTAAACCCACCTCAAAAGTTGAGAATTTTGCAAAAATTGAAGCGGGTAAGTGCACAATTTTCCATGGAGATTGGGTTGTTTTCGGTTGTTTTTGTTTTCAAGGTGGCAGCACCGTCGGCCTACTTGCAAGGGTGACGATTAGCGCGGGAAAATAGACTGACAGAAAAGACTGGAATCAACAAAACCATAGTCAACAAGAATCTCTCATCGTCACTCATAATCATTCCACGGAAATTTTGTGAAAAAAATTTAAGTACGTGTGTAAAGGAGACAGAATAGGTACGTAATGGTATTATGCTGCAACATTTTGTGCTTTTTTGCGTGTTATATAATCACATTATTCATTAAATCATAATTATTAATTATTAATTATGAGCACCTTGCAATATTAGAAAGTTTTTCATTTTTTTTTTCAGAAACTCGAACCCTGCTTGAATAAGAGAGATTGAGAGCTTTTCACTTTGACCATGGCAGATGATTTATCAACAACAAATTTGATGCCATTCAAATGGTTGATGACCCAAGAAGACTGCCTTCTCTCAACAAACAAGGACAAACCAACGAACCAGCAAGCCCCTTTGTCAAATTCCACCAGAGCAAGCTCACTTTCTCAGCGACCCTTTACCCAAATCTCCTTTCCATCTTTCACTCAACTGGTTTCCGATGAAACTTTAAAAATTCCAGACCCTTACAAGCCACCTCCGGAGCCCAAAAGTCCCCAAGAACTGTCAGAACTGGCCTGGATAGTCGTTCAGATGCTCCCACACAAAGATGTCATTCTGCAAGATTTGCTCTACATTTTCGAAAACTCAAAAACCAAGCTTGGCAGGACATTGGAAATCGGTCTTAAAACGCCTCTCACTTCAACACCTTTTTTGCAAACTTTTCTTGCAAAATGTCCTCTTCTGCATGAAAATGAATTTAGCAGCTCGTCATCTTCTTCTGAAGACAGCTCCGAAAGTGACGATTCCGAAGTGGAACCTTCTCAGGAAAACTCATCCATGGACAAAGAAGAGCACCCAGTACTTCTGCAGAACAAGTCCTCCTCTAGCTCACTTGAAACTGTCAAGGAAAACGACATCATTAATGATTTGGAAATTTCGAGCTCTGAAGATGAAATAGAGGAAGTTTGTGAAATGCCTCTAATAGAAGAGGATACAGCCGGGAAAGTCCCAACCGAAAGCCCCGAGGCCCCGGAGGAATCACAGACGCAGCATCTATTTGGACTAGACATGCCAGATTTGAGCAACACTGCGGCAAAAGGAACGCAAACTGACCTCACAATGGTAGACATTGAGAAGTTGATGCGAAAAACCAAAGGAAGCAAAGAGATTCAATTGAGCGGACGAGCGAGTGAAAATGGGAAGAACGAAAGCGAAGTCCCTACCAAGAAGAGAAAGAAACCAACAGTCAGGATCAGGCTAGGGTTGCCTAGATACAAAGGGAAAAAAGGAGAAAGAAAACAGTGAGAAAACAAGTTTAAATTTACAGTAACTCGTCTTGTATTGCCATTCATCAGTTTTTAGTTTCAATCAAAATTATGTAATTTCAAGGCAGAATGGGCAGAACAATACTTTCATTTCAATTTGAAAAATAATGTAAAATAAAAATTTACAATGAGTGAAATTAAAATAGATTTCTTTTTCTTCAAACAAAAATTGAAGGAATGGTGCAAAGTCTAACATAAAATAATCACATTATTATTTTGCTCACTCGGAGCACACAAAGTCTTTCGCGGCCAGCAGCTCTTCGCTTAACAAATTTACATTTGAAGCCCTGCCTGAGAAAAATCTCTTCCACTTCGAGAGGCTTGTTTTCCTCCACTAGCACCAAATAGAAGACGCCCTTGGATGAGAGCAAATCAGGCACCAAAGGAAAGAGGCGGTCCATCACTTGTCGGCCTCGAAGCCCACCAGCCCAGGTGTGTGCAATTTTGCTGCTGGCGATTTCAACTGTCTCGGTCGGGACATAAGGAGGATTAAAAATCAAAAGATCCACTTTGTTCCTTATGGCTGGCAGCAGAGGCGTGACAAGATCGGCATTCACACATTCGACCGAGGCTCCGTGCCTTCGGGCCGTTTCCTTGGTGGCTCGGCAGGCAAGAGGGTTGATGTCTATCGCCAGACAGAAGGTCTTCAAAAATTTGGCAACGGCGCTGCAAACTACTCCCGAGCCACTGCCGATTTCCACACACAAGGCTGGTCTGATTTCATCTCTGAGCCACGGGCCGTCTTCTTCAATGGCGTCCATCAGAATGAAAGAATCTTCGGCAGGCTCGTAGATATGGTTAAAGGACAAGTGGCTAGTGAAGGGGGTTTCCATCTTTCTGCTGTATTGAAGGGACTAACTCGCCGACTGAATTGCTTGCTCCTGCCACTGGTGAAGGTTCTATCAGGACTTTTCTCCTCGCAGACTCTTTCTCAATAAGCTGGTGGACTTTATTCAGTCGTTCCTGTATTTTTTTGTTTATATTTTAAATTAGAAAAAAATATCAAAAATTTTCAGTACATACTTGAGCCACTTGAAGAATATTGCTGACAACTGTCACTCTTCTCTTTGCATTCAGCAATTTTTTTACGTAATTTTCCAAATCCAACGGGCACTGCTGCTCATCCGAAATTTTCTTGATCTCGTCTGCCAAACCATCAATCTGTTGCTTCAGTTCAAGCTGGCTGATCCTAGAATTGATAACGTAATTTAAGTTCAAAATTATACCATATGAAAAATCACAAAACTAAGGCGCACACACGTGACATTGATTTTACAAACCTTGTGGCTCGAATCCTCTCGTCCAACTGGTCGATGGTCGGTTTCAGCAAGCACATGAGTCCTTCTGCAAGCGCATCGCGGGTCGGATTGTCGCAGAAGTCCTCGGTTTTGTCCTCGATCGACGTGTTTGTGCTTTCAGTGTCTCCGTCCATCGAATTTCAATTTTACCTGGGATTATTTTTTGTTTTGTTTTTACGTCTCGTCTGCAAAAGAGCGAGAAGGCGTGTCGAGTAAACTGCAGGGGAGAGGGGAGGGGCTGTGTTAGAAAACGGCGGGAGACTACGCGGTGTGCACTCAATGTACATAATTTGTGTTCTAGTTCTGCAGGATTTTCCGCAAATTCACGCATCACTCGCATCAGCATCAGCCATGCATTATTTGTGTCGCAGCTTCCTCAAGTCCTTAAAATACGTTGTCTTTTACATAATTTTCCTTCACGTTTCAATCGAAATTGTCGTGAAGACGCCACCGTCCAGTGTAAAGTATGATTCCTCTTTTTCAAATAGATCTGGTAAGATGATTATCTTTTTATACATCATTTATACCATAATTTGAATGAGTTTATATTAGATATTCCATTCTTGGAGGCCCACCAGTGGGAAACACCTGTGCGCAGTCATTTGCCTTTCATAGGTACTGTTATGGTTTTATTTTAATAATTTTTATTATTAATGATTTCTTCGGATTTCTTCTTTACATGGAAAATTCAAATTAATCTCTTCCCAATTCCCATAAAGGAATCTGGGTTGACCCTGAAACAAAGTTGGCTTTAGTATTGAAAAACCACGCATTGGCCTCACATGGAACAATCATGACTGTGGACGAGCCCAAATTTCTGTACAGCAATTTAGAGTTTCAGATCTCTGCAGACTATGCTTGGAAACTCCCCTTGTATGCATTCCCCGTGAATAATCCACAAACTTTGATGCAGGTGAGATGTTTTATTTAATTATATATTTTAGCAAAGCATCAATAACTAATTTCATTCGTTATTTTGTATGTATATTACTTTATTAGATAAAAATTTGTAAAATTCATTAAAATTTTCTTGAAGGAAAATGAGGAGTTTTTTCTTCCTAAGACTAGACTGATAATTAATGTCAAGTTCAACGCTACCGTCCAAATCAGCCTGTTTGCTCTTTTACTTGGAGACAACGTTTCTAAGCGACCTACTCAATTCTCTTACCAGGTTTTGCAAAGTTTATTGATTTATCTTTAATTCTCAAAATTTCTAAATACAAATTTTTCACTATAGGCTGGTGATGGTAATTGGACCAACCACTACGTCCCTGCAGTAGGTCAGAAATTTTTCTTTCAAGTCAATAAGGTATTTTATTTTTTTTTATTTTTTATAAAGACAGTACAACTTTTTTAATTTTTCCATAATTTTCCAGAAATTTCCAAAGACAACCTCTTCCGTCACATGCAAATTCAAAAATACGGATTCTAAGGCCAAATCAATGGCGCTACGTCGACTGGCTGTCTACGGAACTCTGTAGTTTCCAGCAAAGGATATGTTTGCTTTAGTGTTGAAAAGATGAAATTCATCTAAATTACTTTGATTTGTCTATATTAAAATTAAAATATTTTATTCTTCATAAAACCTAGTCTGGGGAATTTTTTTAATTTTCGGTTGAGCGCCTTATCATTTAAAAATTACTTGCGCCGCGGGGGCTGATATTATATCCTGTCTATTGTGCTGTGCACGATGTTTGCTTTTCCAACGCGCCAGAATTGTGTGCCCCAGGGCTTACATATTGATTGGTTTGAAAGCATCAGGAAGTGAAAAGGTAAAGTGGGGAACTGAAAAGCATGTATAAAAGTTTTGTGGTGTGCTTTTCCAACGGCTGCCAACACTTCTTGCTTGTCAGTGTTTCATAACGCCTCGGCGGCGTTGGTTGACCCAGCGAAAAAAGCGTGAGCAAGTATATAAAGCTGATTTAACGTTGAAGATTATTACTACCCACAGGAATTCAGTGTAAGTTAATATTTTCATTTGATTCAGCAGAGGAAGTACAATTTTGAGATAAATTCAAACTTGTATGCTCCGCGCAGTTCACAAAACTATATAATAATAACTGATATAAAGATAGTTATATTTATAATTTAATCATGGAAAATACTATAAAATATTTAAATCAAATGAATTTATGTTTTGAATGATTAAATAACTGGCATTTACAAAATGTATTTTATTTTATTTGCAGGCATGGAAATAAAAAATAAAGGGCCATCGATTCTCCGAAGATTTGTCCTCACATTCAAACACACCATTCTTAACCTTGTCTGGCTCAACGGGCTGAATAAGCAACTTCATTTTATCCTACAGTCAAAACCAACCACCCATGGAGCAATCATTTTCAGACAATTTTGAGCATCATCCGCCCTGCCATAATTATTATGACATCCGCGACGATACGACAGATAGGGATGAACTATGTCAGCAGCTGAAGAGGGCGCAGCTCATTGCTCTAGAGCAAATAAGCCAAGCTGTCTTTGGCAGGCCGGATCAGATCTACACGCTGTGGTCTGCCCTTAAGCCCACCCGATTCCTCTCTACCCTAGTCGCTATGAATGACTCTAGACGAAGGTTCATGTCCTGGCCTTTCCCAAGGGTTTATGAGGCAACCTTGGAAGAGCATCACATAAGGCTCAATTTGCGTAGAGAGCAATATGAACATAGACTGGACTACAGTGCAAGCAATTTGAGTCAGAGTGGGGGAGAAATCACGGGAACGATTTTCATTGACGAACTGAAGTTTTTGCCTCGCTGGAAGAGTAGATGTGAGGACTTCATTGAGGATTACAATTACCAGTATTTTGTGAAATGGTATCCAAATTAATAAAATAAAGGCAGTTGTGCTATTTGAAAACTGAATGCTTTCCCCTTTTAAATTTGTTTAAATTAAACTTAAAACAAATTTTTAATTACTAAATTAAAGATAATTGCGGATAATTATTAAAAAGTATTTCTTTAGATCTTAATTTAAACAAAAGGTTTGCGATTGATAAAATTCACTTAATTTTCTGCAAATAATTTGAAATCCAACATATTTATTGTTGATTATTACCACATAAGACACAACTGATTTGACTCTTTTGAACCGACTTTTGCATCAGTATAAAAACTGGAATGAAACTGCAATGCATCAACGGAGATAAATTAACTTGACCAATAATTCTTACTGCGTTGTTAATAAACTGAGGCAGTTTTCAAACATGCAGCAGGCTGATTATTGAGCTTTTGTGACAGTGATGACAGCAGAAGGCACCAATCCTGAAGTGATGTAACCAAATTATCAATCCGCAGTGGTTTTCCAAATATGTTTATTACCCAAAGCATCTAATGGTTTAGCATAGTCCTCTTCTTGGAAGACCTTCCTCGGAAAGCTGGTCATCAAGGAGAAGGGAGCATCCCCATCAGTCCTATTCATGGTCACATACAGTCTGACTGCAGCAAGCTCTTCCTTGGCCTTGAAGGATTGCGTCAAGGTTTGTCCATTTGTGAGGCGGATCTGCAAATTTTGTTTGAAATTTGAGTCAAACCATAGGAGTCAACGATCTCTTTTGTTTTAAAAATTTTGAAGCTTTTTTAGGATCTACAGAGATTAGTTTTTACATTTTTAAATATTCATTTTTTATATTTTTTTTTAAATAGTTATAACTATGAATTTATTACATTAATCTTAGCTTCAGAGTAGTCCTTTGGAGGAGCAGCAGCTTTTGGAGGGGCTGCAGCTGGAGGTGGGGCAGTAACCGGAGCTGCGGCAGGAGCATTGCTGTACTTGGCCTGTCTAGCCAGTTTGTCCTGCTCAATTTTCTCTTTGATCTTCTGTCTGGCCATCTGGTCTTCCAACTTCTCTCTCTTTCTCTGGTCCATGATTTTCTTCATCTCATCTTCCTCAAGCCTGATTATTGTAAAGTCAAATTTTAATTTCGCGAAATAATTCATGTGATACCTCTTTCGATTCGCTAGCATTTCCTTTCCAGATTTGATACGGTGTTTCTCCCTTTCATTAGCTTCAGCCTTTTCTTTTTCCTCTCTCTCTTTCCTCTTCTGCTTGATCTTCTCCTCCATCAACCTCAGCTGCTCCTTTTTCTCCTCCTCACTCAAAGGCTTGATTTCCTCCGTTGACTCGGAGAAGTCTGTGTGATCTGTTTTGGCAGCATGGAATTCGACCTCGATCTGACCTCGGAAGAGCTTTCCACACCTAAGAAAAAATTATTTAATGAAACTCTGATTAAAATACACATTATTTATTAATCTGATTTAGTTTTTATTCAGAGCTTTGTAAATTCCTATCTGTTCCTATCTGTACAGGAATCGCTGAAAATCTTGATTGAAAAATCAAGGAGATACTTTTTCCATCAATAAAAAAATTATGTAGAAAATATGTAACTGCGTTAAAAGAACATTTTGGTATATCTTACTGGTTGCATTTGATTGATTTGGCCAATTCCTCTTCAGCAGCTGCATTGCTGCTTCCACTCTCCTTCTCCTCAGTGGCTGCCGGAACTGTTTCCGAGTTTGGTTCTGAAGCAATTTCGGGCTCTGTGACTTGTTCCATCTTGAGCACCGATTTGAAATCTGCAAAAACACAAACAAGCTGAAAGATTAATACCATATTATTGACTTGAAAACCCTCCCTAGTTTGGATAAATTCAAAATGAAGTTAAAAAATTATGTAAGTGAGAATGCAGCAGATGATGCGGCAAAATTCGCGTCAGTTTTTGCTTCAAAAAATTTGAGATAATTTTCCTTTAATTTGTGCGAAACAATGGATTTTTAATTTTTCCGAAAGATTAAGTCACAAGAGGGAGAATTTAAGTTGTTCTTACCGAACAGTTTCACTAAATTCGACGAAATTTAAGAAAACCGCAGTGGAGTTTGTTGACTTTTTGAGAAAAAATCTGCCCCTCCCCATTTCCATTCATGCAACGTTATGTGGAATAAAGGAAGAATCTGCATTGCTGCCGCTTCGAATAAGCGCGGGAAAGGAATATGCTTGCATTTGAAAAGTGGAAAGAATTAAACTACGAGGAAAAAGATAAACGAGAGAAACGTCAGGACAATTTCTTTGATAATAAAAAATAAAATCATTTTGAAGGGATGTCGATATAAATATAATTAGTGGTAATTTCAAAGTCATCTAAGAACCCTTTTTCTTTGGGTTTGGGCGGAGAAAAGGAGAGATTCAAAATTAAACAGGACTTTTCTGATCCTTAAATTTTATTTTGTTCATTTATTATACGGTCATTTTTAAAAACCTATTTTTACTAACAATACCAACCTCAAAGATCAACAACTAGCAAGTCTTCAAATTTAAGCATACAAAGAAGAGAATCTTTTTGTGATAATTCTATATATTAATTACCTGCCCAAGTTTAAAATGATAAAACCAGGATAAAACAATCGAGTTTGTAATTGAATTGCCACCTTGAAAATCAGGTTGAATTCCCCTGTTTGGATCCCATGAATTATTGATTACATGAGAGTGAAAATTAATTCTCTTGCCATCGCAGGATTAAAAAGTGAGCCACTGAAGCACTTTCAGAGTTTTAAAGGTTTTGATTAATTCCTCAAAGTCAAAGAAGGACTTTTTCTCTTGTTTCTTGACCGCTGGTTGTTCCAGCTCAGGTTCAGGCACGTTGTCAGGGTAGATAATTTTCTCTTCTTCGTGGCAGTTCGTGATGACATCCAGTCCTTTGTAGGTCGGGTGGTCCAAGCCGGAATACTTGGACGCCAGGACGATTCCATCACAGTCAACCAATTCCAGCTGCTTGTTGAAGCAAATCCTAATTTCGGACAAATAAGTTTTGTGCGTTTTCTGAAAGAAAAGAATCAAATATTTCAAGATTCCAACAGAAATTGATTTTAAAATACCGAGTCTCTGAAGCACTCGACAGCCGGATTGAATCCAGTCCCCTTCTTGACAACGTCGTTGATTTGCTGCACGTTGTATTCCTTGGTTGCGTCAGGCAAAATTCCGCCGTCGCTAAGGATTTTGGTCATGTTGTGCTCGTCATGCCAAGCCAGTCCCTTGGAAAAGTACTTGAGCTCCGAGTCGAGTGGCGGCAACTGGGCAGCGCAGGTTCCGTGCTTTTGCCACTCGTGCTTCCACAGGGAGTCTTCGGCGGTGCCGTTCATGATGTTGGCCCACTTTTGGTCCAGTTCGCTCTGGATGGGCTTCAACTCGCGCGGATTGAAGTGCCACGTGTTGTTACAAAAGCCAGGGCCAATCGTGCCGAATTTCGTCGGCCTGTCAACGCACAAAATAATAAAATTTATTTTATTTGAAATATTCATTTTCATTTTTCTTATTTAAATATATTGAAAAAGTTCATAATAATATAAATTTAATATTTTTAGTAACATTTTTCACTTTTTGAATCCGCTTTAATCGTATAGAGATAAATAGCGGACTTGGCAAATATAATTAATTTTATTAAATACTTTTGAATTATTATTTTAGCATTTCAAAATATATCATGAATTTTGATAAAAAAAAAATAATTAAGTTCACTATAGAAACAGGGCATAAACAAATTTATTGTAGAATATTTCTTAATGTCTTTCTAGTCTGCGTATTATTTAAAATTAAATATTTATGTTAAAAATGTAAAAATTAAATCTTATCTCAAATTAATAAAAGGCTGCATTATTTAAAGAAAATATGAACATGAAATAAAAATAAATGAAATTAAAAGGCGATAAATTATCTTAATTAAAATAAAATATAATAAACTAATTTTAAGTTTGTATATTAAAATTTGAAAGTTAGTTAAAATATTATTTTATTTTAAGTAGTTAAACGCCAATGATGTCAATTGTATTGGATCGGTGTATAGTGTATAAATCTTGAGTGTCTAGATCTAGAGTCTGAGGTCAAGAGAGAAACTTGGGAGAGATAAGAGAAGTGTCACAATACCAAACTCCGTGGACAGTCCATTGCGACAAAAGAAGGCACGCGTGAGACTCAGATTTGTCCTTCCACTCTCTGCACACAGTGTAGGGCCAGCTCTGCGTGAAGATCAGAACGTCCCACTTGGGCTCGAAATTACGATACCTGTCCAAACTCCTGTCAGACAAAAACGAACAAATCCTTCGTTTAAATTCAGTTATTTATAATCTCACCCAAAATCGAATTTGATCATGACTTGCGGGTGGGCCGCCGCCGTGGCCAAAAGTCCGAGGCCCATAAGGAGCATCGGTGACATTTTGCTGCTCGGCTAAAAATTAAAGAGCGAAGTCATCAGCCGACTCAAAGTGACACCAGCTTGTTGTTTTCCTTTTTTATTTTTCTCTCTGTTGCTGGCGATGAAATTTATGAACTAATTGGAGCCGCGGCGGGCAGATGGCGAACGCGGCCGCGGTTGGGCGCGCGCCGCACAAGCACGTGGGCCGGCGCGCGGCCACCGTGCCAAAAGCCAAGCCTAAATTTAGCCCGCGGAGAACGGAGCATACTTCTTTCTTTCCACCCCTAGAGTGTCGATGCTCATTTCAGTTTGTGTGATCAGTGCGGACGGTGCAAATTGGATTTTGCATCAACACACGGTACGAGAGGGAGAGTGAGTCGAGTACATGTGTTGCATAACCACCCTGGGGCTTAACGCTAAACTAGGGCGAGAGGGTAGTTTTTTTGCGTGGAGTGTTGAATTTTAAGCCGGTGTGAAGCTTCTAGATTCAAGTAGTTAAAAAAATCATCCTACATGGACCGTCAGATGAAATTTTCAAACTATATTGAAAAGTTTGCAAAAAAGTTTATATCAATTTTTTTTAATAAATTATAAATGTTTCCAATTTTACTTAAAAGCAGTTTTATAAGTTTGAACATTTTTTAAATTATAAATTGAAAGTTTTTTATCGAAGGTGAAATTCATGAAAAATTGAAATCGGGCTTTATTTATTTTATTTATTTGTAACAATGTGGACAAATAAACAACAATAATAATAATTATAAAAATAAGAAAAAGGTGCCCCTAATTTTTTTATTAATTTTTTTTCCAGCAAGATTCAGACCTATTTCAATTTTTTTAATTAAAGTAATATACCAACAATCTACAGTTGTTTTTATATCTCATGAAAATAAATAATTGGATTTAATTAATTTCTTAAATATTTTATGCTATTGGAAACAGTTGTGCTACGAAATGAAGCTCTCATTGCTGTGATTTTGACTCTTTAACATTTCTCAAGATTCATATTTATTTGGTGCTGGTATTTTCTTTTCTAATTGCATTGTCTTCGTCACTACCAAACTAATTAACCCACCTTTTGACGCATCCAAGTGTGTGATTCATTAATGTATTTTGTTATTCGAATCGCGCGCGCCGGGGTTGCTCCACTTAGAGGCCGCTACACCCGAATTTAATATGCACGCCGGCCAGATCTCATCCGCCGGAGAGACAAATGTCATCCGCGAATAAATATAAAAGTTGGTTTCACAGCGAATCGAGTCCGACTGACTGAGACTCTCCGTCTGCTCAAACCGCTCTGCTGGGGGCCAAAACGCAAATTGGCTTCAGCTCGGGCAAGAACGTGCAACTGATTAATTCTCTGGCTATTAGGCCAATTTTTCTTTGCCTAGAGATTTCTATAAAATATAATCAACATTATTATTCACAAGAGCGAAAATCTAGCCTCATAAAATATTAGATCAAATTTAAGAAAGCCAAAATTGGGACGATTTTGAATTTTAAATTTACCACAGACAACAGCTTACTAGAAAATGGTCGAACCTTTCAGCAAAGTAGACTTTGAATTGAATTCCTTGCACCAAACTTCATCAACTATAATATGGGGCCATATTATTTAAATTTGTTGATAATTTAATAAAATCTTATAATTTAAATATATTATCAATTATAAGGAGTTTTGCATTCTTTGAAAAGGATGTCAAAAGATTTAAAATATATTATTGAGGATTGCAATAATATTATATAATCATAATAAATTATACATTTATACCTAAATGCATTTTGATCACAATTGTATAAAAGAGTATACAATTCAAAATTCAAACGATTTTAAATGACTTTATATCTGTGAATGAGAACAGTATGTAGCATCACATCTGTCTGACTTAATATAAAATATTTTGTAATTTAAATAGTTGATTTAACTCTATGTTAGTGTTTTTTGTTAATACATACAATTTTAAAAATTAAATTCCCGTTTTTATTGATTGAAATTATTAAAAAAAATAAATATATATAATTACATTGTTAATTTGATTGTGTTATTTACATTCATTTTAAAAAATCGTTTTGTATACAATTGTTTGCTAAATTTTTTAATGATGTTTTGTGATTTCCAGATACATAAAAAACCAATTACTATGTTATGGATCCACGCAAAATTTTAAACGTGCAAATCCGTTGTGTTACTCACTTTGGCTCAATTTGAACCAATTAGAGCGGCGCTCATGAGTACAGAGTGGCGCACTGTGTTTGCATAAGTCTGCAAAGAGCGTGGCAGGAGCAGAGGCGGAAAATTATTTTTAAAGCAAATTCAAGCACCGCGAGGTAAATAGCTGAGCCGCAAATTTGCGTCACCGCGCGAACAGTCCACTCGCAGCTCTTTCGTGACATCGGCAAATCCTAACCGGCAGCCTTTTTTCTCCCTCTGCCGATTCTACAATTCTTCAAAAGTTTATCATGAATTCATAAATATAAAAACGAATTATTTTTCTTTTTCTGTAAAACAAGTTCCGTCAAAATAATCATTTTGGAAACGTGTGTGTGCGCGCACCCGACTCGAAATGTAGCCGGGCACTTAAAAAAAACAAGCAGAGACAAAATCAACAAGACAACACGAGATTAAATCGCCTGGAGTCGCTTCAAAGCGGAGGAGACATTTAGCTCACAGACGAACAGCTGGTTCGGAGCTAGTGTTGTTCTTTTTTTTTTGAAAAAGTATTGGGCGTCTTTGTGGATTATTAATTGGCATCCATAAGCGACGAGAAAAAAGATACTTTTGTAAACATTTTCCTAGGAATCACATCTTCCAAATCAACAAAAGCTCGTTTTAAAACTTTGATAAATTATTTACCGTTTATCATTGAATTCATCAAACGATCACCAAAATATTTTAAAGACAATGAAAAATGTTTTTGTTTTCTTTTTAATTGTTATTTTGATCACAAATGAAATGTAGCTTTTTTATATTGAAAAATTTTCATCATTTATCATAAATATTTTATATAGTGGTTACAGGAAATTGAACAAATTTAAAAAAAAAAAATATGACTCGATATTATGAATTAGCGATGAGGTCAGGGTTTTGATAAACATGTGACGTCCCTCTTGGGCAATTGGCACTTGACTCTCTCCCACTCTCTCTTTTACACTGAGGAACCAGTGCGAAAGTAATTTTACATGCTACAATCACAATAAAATAATTCAATTTGATTGCGATATTCGGTGATTATGTAAGTGAAGCATGAAGATGATTTTCAAGTTTTGATGTTGTGAATTAAAAAAAAAAAACAAAAAAAAAACATGGTAATTTTGAACTTCCGCGTTTTATTTTTATTTATTTTGAATATTTTAAAATTTAATATTATTGTCAGCAAATCAAAAGAGGATTTCTAAAGTGAAAATGACAGCTTGCGGTTTGAACAGTTTCCAATGTGCAAATAAAGTCTGTTTCGACGTCCAGCAAGTCAAGTTGTAACTCAAATCCGAATGTGGAGCGTTTTATTTATCGATCTGCTTGTGCAAACACGCAGACGGTCTTCTCTCTCGCTCAGCATAAAAGTGAGCGCCGGTTTTAAAAATAGCCCGAATATTGGGGATGACTTTGACGTATATCTCCGCTGGATCTTTCATAAAAACTCCCGAAAACCAGGACGCGCGTCGCGAGATGCGAGATCGTTTCCACACGCAAATAAATATATATTAAATAAGGTCACCACTTATACTCTAAAAAAACTTTCAGCTCTCGCCCAGTTTTATTAGCAATTATCCAAAATCAAAAGAGAGTTCAAAAGAAGAAATTTCGAAACTCGGCGAGCAATAAATATATCAGAGGGATTATTTCTGAAGTCGTAATCTGTTTCTCCGAAGGCGACACTTCCATCATAATACTTAGCGCATCAAATTAAAATAGTGCAACAGGCGACACTTGACTCGTTTTTTTCTTTCCCCGTCTTGCTAAAGCCGATTAAATAATACGTGCGCAAGTCTTGGACGCCGGCCAAATTGACCTCGATAAAAATACTTTGAATAATGAAAGGACCAGAAATCAGAAGAAAAATGTTCAACTTAATTGCGAAGTCTCGTCGCCCACCTAAAAACATTCCTTGAACAAAAAAAAAATAATAGTTTTTTCATCTGACCAATTAATTGGAGCGAATTCATTGAGACGTGTACACGCTGGAAACTGGAGAAGTCGAAAGGGAATGAAATATTTGCGGTCTGGAGCAGCGCGTGATGTCATATCTTGACGACTCACCTGCAACACAAACAAAAGGACCCATTATAAATAACCGGCCTTTCGATCGCCTGTTCAAATAAAATTATGCAGAAAGAGTGACGCAATGAGCTGAGCGAGACCCCTGTATATTTGTTGACCCAATGAAAAGCATGCATCCGAGGCTGAAGGATTAGTTTTCAATTTATGCATCGTTGGCCTGCCTTTCCACTCCATCCTTCTTCTGGTTCTCTTAAATGGATATATCACTTTTATTTTTTTCCGAAAGCATCAAATGATGCAGGTAGGTCTTCTGTTATTTATTTGACTCTCTTTAATACGCATTGGTCGCCCTGAACCGTCGCGCGAAAGAGTAATGAAGTCATCGGAATGCGGCCTAATTGCTTGGCCGCTGACCAGTTTCGTCATATAAGACCATTTTTCACGATTTAGCAAAGCCCGCGAGCGCCTCGCTATTTTTAGGGCTCGCAAATTAAAAATAATCGTGTAAAGACAATGGTGGTGCTGAAATTAAACGGTCACCCCGCTCGACCCACTCTGTGCTCCGCGTAAACAAGCAGATAGATGTGTTTTGTTTTAGAAACTCAAAAAAAAGAGGAAAAACACGGGAAAATATAATGAGAAGATAAGGTTTGGCCTGCTTTTTAATCACGAACAAAAAGTATTAATTTAAAGTAAAAAACCTAGGAATATATACATATTATTAAAGGGTTTGATTCAAAAGCTATAAATGATTAAAAATTAAGTTAAAAGTCCATGATTTTATGCAACCTGCTGTTCATAAGTGCTTGAGGATTGCTTATTTCTGGATGAACTCGATCGATACCTTTGCATTGTTGTCTCGAAATGTTTGATAAAGCTGGGGGATAATTTCT